AATCATCTAACTATCAACACTAAATGCAGATTCTGATGCCATAAAATCTTACTATATTCGATCTAATAGCCATAAAATATTATATTATTTTATAAATTTACTAATATATATTATTTAATTAAATATATATGAGTCTGGGTAAGATCTGGTATGGATCTAAATTTGGATATGAATTGTAGAAAACTAGACCCTACCCAGACCCACGACTCTCTCACAGGGTCTAGGTTTGTGTAGAGTCTGGATTTGAGAAATTAAATTCAAACTCCACCCAAATATATTGGGTCTGGGTAGGGTCTACCCATTAACATGCCTAGATGAGATTATGATTCATTGGAGAAAATAACTCGGTTAGTTGATCAGTGTATGACGTCACATTCTTCGGAATTCTTTATCTAGGGAACATGAAAGAGCTTGCTCTTTCCTTTTGTTATCACTTAGTCTAAGCGGCACTTTAGCTTCACTTATTCAGCTATGGTAGGATTTTAGATACAAAACAGGCTTCATTGTTTTATTGCTTCCCAGATTGATAAAATGCCTCCAAAAAAAAGCCATTTTCTATTCCAATGCAGGTCAAAGCAACCTCAGAGTGCAACTTTCTTGCAAAGAAAGATTAGAAAATTGGCAAAGAAAATTTGAAGAAGTTTATTTTATATAATGTATTAAAAATATGGATTTAGAATGGAGGGGTGTGAATTTATCCCCTTCCAACTTATTCATTTTATATAATGTAGAAAAAATAGGAAATTTTAGGACATGAAAAGTGGAGTCAATATATAAATTATTTTCCGTCGCCAACATATAACACAGACGATTGTGTTAAGTAAACGAGATCCTCTGTTCATTATATTTGTTCATTTTCTTGTTTAATGTAAAACTACGTAGTTCCACTTAGTAATACTGCTGACTTGGCACGTAACATTGAATGCATATATTCAGAGATGTTTGGTAAATGGTTTCAAATTAAAAGCAATCAGCAACCACAAGGAAAGTACAATCAATGCTAGCAAAACGAGGCGCGCCATTATCTTTACCGTAAGAGGGCAGCCAGGGTCAGGGTTATGGTCATGCACCACCTGGTTGTCGTTGCCACGAGGTGGGCGCTGCACGACGGTCCTAGCTATCGGAAAATTTACCGGTCGAACGTCCACGGCCAGGTAATATATGCGCTGATTATCCCGCGGCTGTGGGTGTCCAACTTCTGCATCGCCGGAGCTCATTCTCCGAGTATGAGAAAAGAAAAAAATAATAACAACAACAATAAAAAGTGCAGGATCTGTAGGAAATAAACCCAGCAAAAAAGCAATGAAGTAAAACAGACAAAGGAAGAATTCTTCGTGGCAGGGACCTTCACAGTCTTAAACCAAACTAGCTATTTATAGTTCTATTTGTTAGCATGTCATAATTAAGTTGGTGTTAGTTACTTTCCCATTGGATTTACTTTAGTAGTTGTAGGGGGCAGCAGGATCCACAGGGTAGCCATAGATGACAGAAGGGACAAGACGGAAGAAACTGCTGCTGATTGATTCTGAATGCGTTGTTTGGATCTATGCTGCGCATAATGATGATGACCACGCTTTCTTTTTCTTTATTTTTAACCAAAGAGTTGGACCAAAAAAGTGCGATAAATGCTCAACAGCAATGTGTTAAAGATAAGAAAAGAGCTCGATTGATTGATAGAGGGCTTGTTTTCGATTGATTATTTTAGTTAATAGTAAATTTTGATTGATAGAAGGCTTTATTACGTAAGCTAATTATAAATTTTGATTTTTAATAATCGAATTTTGCAAAATCTAAAATTATGATTTGAGATTTCAAAATTAAAAAATATAGTACGTGACTTAATTAGGCCAAGGCTTGATTATGTTAGCTAATTATAAGTTTTAATTTTGAATAATCAAATTTTGCAAAATCTAAAATTATGCAAGGAGATTTTGATTATATGAGCTAATTATAAATTTTGATTTTGATAAATCAGATGTTGCAAAATCCAAAATTATGATTGGAGATTTCAATTTTGAAAATACAGTGCCAATAGTTTGCTTATTCAAGTTATTGTCCAGATATAACATAAATTTTTTTTTTTTGATTAAACTTCTAAACAACCATTATCCTATGATTGGAAAAAAATTTAAAGTATTACTAATGTATAAGTATATAAGTAAAGAAAAAAGACCACCCCCTATTTGTTCTCTTATTTTTCTCTCTATCGTTTATTGCATATATCTCATAACTCTATTTAATAAAAATTTTAAAAAAAAGTTTAGCATAAAAAATTGAATATGTTCATGTACATAACATTATTAGTACTCTGAACAAGAACATTACGAGCACTATAAATAAAAATAAAAAAAATATTTTTTTTTGAATCAGGTGCAGTTGGTAAGGTGATGCCCATAATCAACTACAAGAAGCAAACGACCAAGCATTGGTCACTAAAGTTACGAGCATGAAATTTAAAAAAGAAACTACTCACACTTCTTCATCCCTCCTAACATTATGCCTTGGGTACCATTAGAGGGAAACCAAACTTCCACCTCGGCACAGTTGAGACTGATCTTCCTCCAACCTTTTCCAGGCCAAAACGACCGTTCGAAGTTGGATTTAACATATCTATAGCGACCCTCCAAATAGACGTCGAAATATGAGACTTGACTGCGTATGTCCTCGGGCGCAATTGCAGTCGTCAGAGGCTGCCAACAAGCCTTCGGCCCTGCCAATAGATGTTTCTGATATCCTGGATCTTTCCCAGAAGCCATAAGGTCCGCAGCTTTAGCGTCGCAAAGATACTGCTTATTGTCGCCATATTTCTTATTGTCATAAAATAGCGACACCTCAAATCCGCCGAGGATGTATGAACTATCGTTGGCTAACAGTCCAATGCTCCAATTTGCTGCTATTATTCCAGATTGGGTTACATTGAAAGGAGAAACCAGCATTGAGCTGACGTAGAATTCTGGGCCGTTTGTAAATAATAAATTTGTTCCACTCAACAACCAAAGGAAAAACAAGAAACAAATACCCGCTGAAACAAGCTTTACTAGACAGCCACAGCAGCAGTTGCCATTGTTAGGACCTCCGCTATTGTAGGCCGCGGCACCAGCCACGGGGTTAGGAGTTCGGTTATTATAGGCGGCGGCACCATCCACAGGGATGCCATAGACGACAGAAGAAGGTGGCTGCTGAGTAATTCTGAATGCGTTTTGTGTACTTGTGCTGCCCATTGTGATGGTGGTGGTGGTGGTGGTGGCGGCAACAAGAAAATAGCTAGATATTAGAGAGAGTTGAACTATAAGTACGACAATAAAATAGCTAGATAGAGCATTATTATTATAAGGGTAGATTTCGATTAATAGAATTTCAGAATAACCCGAATCCTAGTTTGACAAGAAAATCCAATTACAGCTAAAGTAGTTCTAGTAGTGGACTAGGAAAAGGTTACCTGGCCAGGCCAAATTCCAATTGCACAATGAATATTATTAAAAATCCCTCAAGCTCGGGGCGTGCCTAAATTCTAATCCACTTAAGATTTTTTTTTTTTTTTTGGCAAGAAAAAATTTATGTGAGTTCAACTCTGATTATCACTAAGGATCAGAGCATGTCCTAAAATCATAAATCGTTTACAACGTTCTTATAAAACATCCACTAATACAACTCTCGCATCCACTTAAAGTAATGAAACTGGTTGGAAGTATTGTTTTAGCAGCACTAATTTGAAATATTCAATGTTTTCGCGTGGTTACCAGTTTCAACCGTCCTAATTAGATATATATATATATATATATATATATATATATATTTTTTGGTTACGATAGCACATACAATGCGAACTCTTAGTGTATACAATATATTAAAACTTGTATGTTGACGTTTAATTGGTGAATAAAAAATATAAAGTGTTTTTTTGCATTGAATGAATGTGCATATTCAATATATTTGACTTATGTACAAATATATAACAAGCTACGGGGAATAAGGTTTTCATCACTAATCTAGATATTAATAACAATTTGCGTACCTCAGTGTTAATATTTTATGGTATGCATTGCTTCATTTTTCCTACCATTCTGCCTTGCGTGCCATTAGATGGAAACCAGACCTCCACATTTTTGCAATGGACGTTGCTCTTCTTCCAATTTTTGCCTGGCCAAATCCAACTCATATGCTTGTCCATGGCATGCCTATAGCGAACCCATATTCTGATTTCGAAATAGGCCACTCCACCATTGATATTCTCTGCAGCCGCACCTGTGAGAACCTGCGCGCACGCCTTTGGTCCTATGATGATCACACTCGTTTGTTCCCTTGATCCTTGCTCAAATGCGGGATACGTAGTCTCACAGAGATACTGCCCATTGTCTAGATATACCAGTACGTCAAAACCATCATAGATAGTAGAACTCAGGTAATTGGTATTTGTGACCAGTAATCCAATGGTCCAATTTGTTGACGTCTGAGAATTGGATATTTTGAAAGGAGAAACTAACATGGAGCTGGTCTTGAATTCAGGATTCCCTTCGAACACTAAAACGATTACGAGAACCAACCAAACGAAAAAGAACGCCAGCATACATAGTATACATACGTCGTCGTCTAAACGATGGACACGAACCTCCGGGTGATTTAATCTGTTGCAGGGCTGCTGCTGGTTTATTCTGCTGTTGTGCTCTGCAAATGAACTACTCATGATGATGATGATGATCTCTCCTGCGTTATATCCACTACTTGGGAACCTAAAAGTTCTGACTTAGAGGTTAACCATTATACGTTGCGTTGATAGGAGATAGATTCTAAAAGCAACGGGAGATCAGATTCATGGAGTTTGAAAAAGATTTCATGGAATTTGAAGATAACTGAATTTTCTATTTTCCAACACTAATACCGAGATTAATGTGAATTAGCTCAACTGAAATTCCTGGAGCGTCCATTCTAACGAAAGACGTAAGATTAGACGCCATTCAAGCAAACCAGAAAACAGGCCCTTTTACAGAAACAGTTAGATGAGGCAGGACCGTGATCCATATTTTCTATTGACTAACTCCCTCGGGCCCCTGAAAGGTGGTTGCCCAGAAACCGGTTCTCTTGCCTCACGTGAAAAAGCAGCATAAACCAGGAATTCTGGCTTATCCAGCAAGTACTGAAACCTCATCGATGCATTCCTAGCTTGTTTTCCTAATCGAAATGCTTTCTTTCACAAAATTGAGACTTTGAGACTCAATGCCTATACTTCGTAGTGCGATTGACTACTTCATCAAATTGGCATTCCTCATCGTACAATCATGATGACCACAATATACATGACCCAAGGGAAAATTTTCAAAAGAGAAACTCTTAATATATTGGATGTGAAGTTGTATTTACATTTTCCGCTTCTGTAGAGCAAGTGATCATTCTTGAAGGACAAATGAACCTTGTATCCTCTTTTCTAAAGGTTGAGGAGGAAAATTCAAGGGAGAGAACATGTCATCAAAACTTGAAGCAGGAGCTGGCTTGAACTCGTAAGGACCTCCTTTTGCACCCCACACCTGTAAATCAGTTAAAAGAATTGGGCAAAGGAAATTTGTTAAGAGAAGCTTCCAACATCATTTTCAAGGAATCACATTTGGGGACAATATTTCAAGAAGCAAAGAAAACTAACTTGATTTCCTTCTTCATCATAGCCTCTATCCCAAATGTGTACCTCGTTGTTCTTTAACACAGAGAGTTCTGATGTACAGTATGCCGCACCATTCTGCTAAGATTCAATGAGTTTTAAAAATTATAAAGAAATATAGGAGGAGGAGACGAACACATGATACACATAACATGCAGATTGTAGAAAATTATGTTTGAGAAAAATTATGGGGATTCATACCCATGTATTAGGGAATCCATCTGGTTGAGTTGAACCTTCATACAAGCAGCGTTTTCCACGGTCGCAACGTTTGAGGTGAATAGTTGTCAAATGCTCAGCAATGTCCTTCATACAAAATCAAAGTTAAAAGCCACAATTAAATAAAGAAGGCCTCAAATCAGAGAGCAAGAGAGAGATCGAGCTGGAGAAGATATAAATCCTTGACCAGTCAGATTGAAATGGCAGCGTCATACAATAACAAAGTGACGTCTTTTTCAGGAAAAGAGATCCTCAAATATCCATTTGAATGAAAAAATTAGATAAAAGTGAAGTTAAGCCCAATGACATTCTGGGGTTTGTTAACCTGTTTTTTATGCTGTTTATAGAATATAGACATTTTCTTCATTTATTTCGAGATTTCACTCTAAGGCCTTTGTAGCCAATCAGAAGCTGAGATAATCTATAATTCATAAACCTGGCAAAAATCTGCTTAAAAGCATACCCCAATAACTTCTTCAGGTTCTGGCCGCTGGTCCTTCGGGCGATCACAAAAATTCTTATACTCTTCGGCATCTCTGATGGCATGTGTACTTACCTGCAATTAGTATGAAAGAGACGTGGCAAAATCTTTAGCATTGATAGATCTAAGTTCTTTATAAACTCAATAAAATAGGAAAACTATTAGCTAGTAAAGTAGCACCGAAAATCCCAAGCTTGGAATCCTAGCTGCTATTTAGCTTCCTCTTTCAAACCCCCCTCCCTGCACCCATTCAGTGTCTCTCTTTCCAAGGGGGGCAAAAGACAGAAACTAACAAGAAATCATGAAAAAATGTGGACAGCCAGCTAAACTGCTAAAGCTTCTGAATATTGATACATTGGATGTCTCTTCCCTATACGACAGTTGAAACCTTTTGTCATCTTACCTGTAAGTCATTTTTTATAAAATAATCTGCATAGCTACATCCCCAATCGTCTCCAACCACAAAAAAACTATGGCATTTGTGTTTAACCCAACAAATGTAATCAATTGAAGACAAGAGTTAGACACTTAAACAAATAGCTATGCACACAAAAACTGTTCACTTAGCTTACATGGTACAAGTTCAACAAGTGAACCATTATACTCTTTAAGGCTTAATGTGGCAACAACAAAGGTACCAAGAATAAATATTAAAAACAAACTTTAAGAGTACCTCAACATCACATTTCATCTCCTTTGGGCAAGGCTTTACCATGTAGAATCTCTGGAAATGGCCACATATAATTCAGTGAACAGTTAATGTCAATAAGAAAATTAAACCGCTATAGCTAAAACCAAGAAGAAAGGAGCAAGAAAACTGGGGAAGCATTTCTTTGGCGGCAACAAAAATTCCCAGAAGCATTCAAATTGATAAACTGCTCGGATATCAAAGACATAAAGCCACCAGAATTTCTTGAAATGAGCAACTGGGCTTGTCTACTATAAGCAAAATGCAGAAATAAGTTTTACAAACAATAAATACACGCTTTATCAACCTGGCGATATGGTTTATGAGGAGTTCTCCAGAATGCCTGCCACAACAAATAGAATCTCATTATATAATTGGAATTGACACGTTCAATATCGTGAAAAATCAAGAGCATCAACTGAAACAGCTCCAGTCACAATTCCAAATACTAACCTGTTCAAAATACAAAACTTTCGAACCATCAACCATTTCGGCAGCTGGGCATGATAGCCATCTAAAATACTCATTCTAGTTAGAAATAAGAAATTTGATAATTCACATTCAGAATTGCCAGTAAAGTTCAGTTCTTTCTTTCATTCTTTTCTTTTACTCAAATATATAAGGTGTATTAATTGGAAAAAAGGAAAAAAAATGCAATTACAGATTTTTCCAAATATCATTTTACCAAATAATTTCAACGACTAACAATTGCAAAACCCAAAATGTCGAAAAATGAATAAACGAAAGGATTTGTACCTCAAATTAAAGTAATTATCAGGATCTCTAGACGCTTGCTCCCTCGAAAACTAAAAAAGATTAAAACTTTAATAGAAAAATAAATTCAAATTTTCCAAAATTGAAAGAGAAAATTGAGAATTTAGAGCTTAAGAATTTGAGATTACCTTTTCACCGGCGAGGGATTGAGCTACGATGCGAGCGTGGTCCCAGCGAGTAGTGGACTTGGTGAGGCGTTTGAGCAACAGGGCACCTCCGATTAACACAAGGGACTTAAGCACCACTCCCCGCGCCTTGCCCCAACCGTTTGAGCTCGAGTTCGGGTTGAAGTCATGCTCCGACGACTTCGACTCCGACCCCGAACCCGAACCCGTGCTCATCACTGATATATACTATTAGTAATTACTTGCTCTGTTACTCAGTAAGTTACAGTGAAAACTCAACCAATCGATTCATCCATATCTCCAATTTGTTAAATCTATAGTCAGTTCGAAGTTCAATTTTTTCGGGGAAATCTCAGGGGGACAGAAATTATGCTCCGGCAAAAGTGTCGGACGCCGGCGAGGAGGCAGTGGCTAGTTGGTCACTGGCAGTAATACTAGCAGTATTAGATTAAATTACCTACCCCCACTAGTTATCAGTATTCAGTAACATATTCAATTGAGACGATTTGACAAAACTAACCCTTTCCCTTTTGGTTTTTTGGGGTTTTGGGGAATCAGCTAGTGCAGGCAAAAAGGTTCCAAAAAAAATTTTTTTTTTTTGTTGAAACGTCTAATTTAAGTATTTACGTATGGCCTTATTCTAGTAAGATACCGCTTGAGTTTGATAATTTAATTTAATATTTAAATTTAATAAAAATTTAATATGTTTAGATTCCACTTGAATTTAATAATTTAATTCAATATTTAAATTTAATAAAAATTTTAACATGTTCAGACTCCGGTCTAATTTAGCACTTGTAACATGTTCAGACACGTTTGGAGTGTGTTTGGATCGTATTTTTCATGGAAAAATTACTGTAACGATTTGACGTATGTGAATGAAAAAGGTAATAGGAAAATGTGATTACGAAAAACGACGTAATTTTTCGACGGAAAACAGCAATCCAAACAAGGTCCTTGATAACCAATTGAATTTTCTAAGCAAAAATTGCTCCAAAAGTGATACGCTATTCACTCATCATTGATACGTGCTCAAACGTAACAGATTTAGAATGTGTTCGATAAAGCTAAAATCTGAAACTCTCAAATCTAAGTAATTCGCGCAATGTTACTGATTGATTGGCGTTGATGTAATCTTTGATTTCCAATGTGATTCCTATTCATTGCCATGAATTGAACGGGCAGTGAACGATCACGCACACGATTACAATTAAATCATCATTGCCATTAAAAGCAAGAGAAAATAACATATTGGCAGTAAAGTAGAGGCAAAATTTTCGTTGCTGGATTAAGCACAAAAAGGTTGAAGAGTACAACCAAGTAGTCCTCTCATTCTTGGATTCTTTTTTATCTCAATGGATTTAACCAATAAACTACCATATTGAATGATGAAATGAAAAGTAATAACTGGTCCAGTCTCAAGAAGTTTGAGCACAACTTTTGTGTTGCTGTGTTTTGAGCCTAAAAGGTGTTATTTAAGTAGAGATATAAACCACCCAATGCTGCAATTCCAACCGCAATTCCAATGGGCAATGCTCTCCTGCAACAGCCACAAAAAACATGTGTAAGGCTGTAAGCATATACATCTTGCTCCCGAGTCCCGCCCTCCCCACCAAAACCAAAAAAAAGCCAAGAAGGAAATCAAGAAATTAGCATGAAATCAGTTAATGCTAAAGATTTTACAATTCCACCAAGCTTCAAGGAGGAAAATCCATAGCCCAATGGCTTACCCTATTGCTTCGTCTCTTTGAATCTGTGCTTTTCTGGCTTTCCTAACATCCGACTCATTAGCATTTTTGGCCACCTTGGGCACATATGGCTTGAATCTTCGTTTTGGAGCACCACAAACTGCAAGATTCAGTCTCAATAGTCAATGGTCGTGTTGCCAATAGAGGACTGGACAAAACATTTCTACAACATTCCAAAAAGCCCACAAATTTTTAAACTCCAATTTGAAATCATAAGTACGTAAAAGATGCAAGTAAAAAGTTGCACAAGCAATTTGTGCACATTCTAAGTTCTACTGACAGTATGCTGACGAAAATTGTTCCAACTACCACCCTCATTAGCATCTAACACAGAAAGAAAAATCCTTGATAAGGATCACGTTAAATTCTAAGGGAACAAAGAAATTAACATGAATAAAATGAGTACCGAACGATTTTTCAGAGCTTTAGGAAAAGGACAATTATCTGATAATGCAGGATAAAAGGGATGTGGTAGCTTGAGATGAAGAAAAATGTACCAGGGCAGAAGAAATTGTCCGGTAATTTCTCAAAGGGCGTTCTGTCACTGTAGATATACCTGCATATGTCGTACAAATCGCATTTACAATCTAGTAACAGAACAACTCAGTAAAGCAGAGAAAGAACAAAATTGTCAGCAGGCAAATAAAATTACCCGCAATCGCGGCAAATATAGGCTTGCTTGGAGGCAACCCGCATGGAGAATTTTGGAGCAGTTGCAGGAGCGCCGGACCCTTGATGAGGAGGAAGCAGGAGGTGAAGAGAAGGGGCGAGGAAGGACGATTTGAGAGCAAAAGCATCGGCGGGTCGCCGGAGGCCAGCATTGCCCGTCGGGGCTAGAGAAGAAGGCGAGGGTATGGTCTTGGCGGGTAGCTGCAGGGCCATTTCCACTGCTCTTTAGCTTCCTTCCCAATTCTGGCGAGAGTCGAGTCTTTGCCCAGCAGTTGTGGAAGCAAAGAGGAAGAGATGAGGCGATAATGTAAAATTTTGTGTAATGTAGCAATTGGTTGTCAATATTAGAGTAGACTGCGTAATGGGTGAAGTGTGGCTGTCATGCTCCCCACACAAGTTCTCCTTTTCACCTTTGCATCTTTCTTATCTTCTCCAACGTTCCAACACCCAAGCCCATAGCCCGTAGCCCGTAACAAAGCAATAATAATAATAATAATAATAATAATAATAATATGTATCCAAGAATTTTTTTTTAATAATATGTATCCAATAATATTTTTTAATTCATTTTTTTTTTATATTTTTATCTCACATAAATCATACAGTATCACAAAAAATTGATAGTATAATAATTATTTCAAATAATACTCTATTATTCAAGATAAATCTCATCCTGAAATTATATATTTTAAACTTGTAATTGGCAGTCAACCAACCCTTGCTAGAGAAATATGTATAGTATAAAATTGGAGATTCAAGACTCCTGAAAATTTGTGGTGTTCAAATCGGTTTCTTAAACCATTTATTTTGGACTTTTAAATGCTAATCCCTTGTTCTCCCTATTCATTCGTGCACCATTTTCTTGGCATTACATGATTACAATTTGCTGACTTGAGTTGCTTATAATCGAAGATAAAGGGAAAAATTATCCCAAACTTGACAGTCTCGATTTGGTTTTGACTGTACAAGAGTATCCCAATTTTAGTTTTACTAGTTGATTACACAGTGTATAAAATATTTTGCTAGTGGATCAGCAATTTCCTTTTGACAACAAGTCGATTAAGTCCACCGCCTCAGATTCTTGAATCTCCATTTGTGGATAAAAAATTTTTAGTGCCCAAAAATAAAAGGCGACTTGTCTTATTTTTATTTGTTACGAGCCATTTGCAAAAAGTTGATTAGTCGTCTAAATTCAGCACGTCATTTGAGTATACTGCAAAATTTACTTAACAATTTTCTGTGCAGAAGTAGAAATTAATCAAGGATGACATTTCATATACTTCAGGATGCATTGGACGGACATTGAGGCTAGCGGAGAGTATACACTTAGCCTAACATGCTCGCAAGAAGATTTCATGCAAAGGGTCATTGGAAATCAAGTCCCTAGCTGCCATCTCAATCTCTAATGTTTTCCAAAATGGTTTATTGAAGTGACATGGACGAATCAAAAAACTACTGGGGGCCCTTCCTTTTTGGGAGAAAGAAAATGGTGCGCTGTAGTGAATCACTGAATTGATGATCAGTTAAAAAAAAAAAAATCAAGAATAAACACATCTGTACTTGATTCCCTATTAATTTGGGAGTTGTTTGTGGTCTGCAACATCCAAATTTGTCAAATTCCGGCATGCGCTGCTCAGAAACAAATGCAACCTCTCGTGCATTTGCAAGATCAAAATCTACGATGCAGTATGACAACAGCAGGTGAGTACAGCTGCAAGGGTGCTAACAACGTTGGAGGAAATGCCACGCTAATTTCCAGTATCAGTGTCAAACCATCTACCAAGGTTTCAGGTCACCCACAGGGCCTGCTGTCCAGTTTAAGATTTTCTCGCCGGGTTTCAAGAAAGTGCTCCTGTCATGTGGCAGCTTCCGAGCAAGTCCGTTTAAGATCTGGTGGAAAGCATCACGCGATTGAGCCGGTTGGGGAAATAACATAGCCTGCTTCATTGAAGGGTTTGCAAGCAATCTCTGCTTCCTCAGTATCACTTCTGTTGGGATTGAAGTGAGTATTGTATCCAACTTTGGGACGTCCTTCTCTGCTACAAAGACCCCAATTTCTTCCCATGGTATTGCATCAGCAAATGGCAACACAATATCATCTGCTATGATCACTGGGATACAACCAAATATTACAGCCTCAACCAATCTAGGACTCCATGGGGCCCATCCCAACGGGCACAAACAAAAAATAGCTCGCTGCATGTCCTCATAGTAGGTTGTTGGATGCTCGGTCGAAATGTCAAAGAGAGGGTTGTCCTTGAAGTTCTCCCACACAGATGCTCGAGCGCCTCTGCCAAAAAGAAAAGGTAGATTTAGCCATCTCAGTCTATATTGTCAGTGTCTCACATGAAACTTAAGAAAACTTGAAAAGCTATGAGCGAAGATTTTCACATTCTAGGTATGTCTTGGCCCAAATTGACGATTTTTATTCACTCTTTGCATTTGCCTATTTTAACTCCCCTGCTAAACTTTACAGATAAACGATTATTAAGTTATTCTGTAGTTATTATCTCCCTTTTTATGGGGGCCTTTTTTTTTTTGAGGCGGAGGGGAGGACATGGGTGAAGTTTTCAGGAGTTTGACACCAGTCAAACTACACAATTATTCAGTTAAAACCACACTGATTTTGGCTTTGCTGGAAGCTTAATACTATGAAAACCTGATGCAGCACTTGACTTTGAAACAATCGTACAAGCAAACACTAACATGCACAATAGCGAGAGGTACCTTGCATAGTAGCCACCTTCTGGATCATTCCCCACATCATAGAACAACCCTCGGAAGTAAACAAATATTGATCGAGGAGTGTTAGGAGGGATCAAGTGGGCTTGCATCTTCTGTGGAGGAGCATATGGAGGAATGGTGATTGAACCATCCTTTAAGCAAACATGATTTCGTTGCCCAAAAGTTTGGACCAACGTAGCACGCTGAAGCAATGGGAGAATCCCTCTTTCAATGGCTTTTTCTTCCTGCCATGGTCATAAATAATGGTCAACATCAGATGAAAACAGAGATCATATAATATCTTCTCCCCCCTTCGCAACCAGTCATTTCTCA